AATTGATAAAACAGCATGCTAATGTTTATTTAAAATTTGTTTGATGCTTTAATTAAGCATAAATAATTTGTTATATAGTGAAAAGTAACTTATGAGCTATTATTAAAACTATTTTTTATTATGATCGAAATGACATAAGTCCTTTCCATTGATAGAATCGTAAAAAAATTGATGATAATCAATAGGTATATTTTATTAAAGCTAATTTTTGTTATGATCGAAGTGATATAAGTCATTGATAAGAACGGAAAATGGTTAATGATAATCAGTAAGTATCGAAGCAGTATAAATCTTTTTCACTGATAGAATCGGAAAAGAATTGATGATTAATCAGATAATTTAAATAATTTAAATAGATAAATATAATTTAAGAGCTTTTATTAAAACTAATTTTTGTTATGATCAAAATGATATAAGTCATTGATAGAATCGGAAAGAAATTGTTGATAAATGATAAAAATTCAAAATATAAAATTATAGAAGTATCGATAAGATATAACTGTGGAATGAATCATTTCTTTTTACTAACTTCGTAATATTTTTCATATTTTATTTTTCATCTCTTTTATGCCATTAGTTCTTCTTGTATTTGAAGCATTTTCAAATTTTCTCAAGCTGTCCACTACTCTTTTTAACATTATAGCTTTTCACATTTTCCTCAAATATCATTTTCCTGTGGGAATTTTTTCGCCGCCTCGACGATATTTTGCAGTAAGAAATGCAAAAAAGAAATTTTTGATAGAATATATCGTGATTCATATATTATTATCATAAAGAATTTTTTTCCACCAACTTATCCATTTTCTCTTTTCTTCAACTTTTACTTCATATTTTCGACGATCGGAAATTTCATTTCTTTTTTTATTGAAATTATTTTGCATTCGTTGCACCTGTAGTTTTCCTATCTTTGCCTTCTCATTTCTTTTATTATTTTCTAAATAATTTCATGTAGAATTTCTGCTCTGATAAAATTTGCTGAATAAAGTTCTTTTTTTGTAGAATTATCATTGGCTGATATTTCTTATTGATTATATAAATAATTTTTGATAAATGATTAATCAATAATTTTAATGATATTTTATTTTTGGCATTTTCGAAAAGGCTTTTTTTTAAGGATCGTCTTTAGTGAAAAGTTTCATATGTTTAGCTAATTAAAAAATAGTAAGAATACGATATGGTTGATCTGAAATCTACATTAATCATTGTATAATAATGTGATAAATGATAATGGATTTCATTGTTATTGATCACCAATATAATTAGCACCATCTATTAGATAACACTGATTCTATTGGCGGAATTTCGTCTGATTACAAAAAACTTAGTGGACGATTTTCAAATGAAAAAAATTTTAAGATCATATTGAATTCTTACAATGACCAACCAATATGTTTTGTTGATAAACCATTTTTGAAATTTTTTATTTAATAGAAAGAATCTTCTAAAATTCCGTTAATTATAAATTACATGAAATGATATCCCTCAAAAGGTATCTTAGTTTTAAATTTTCATAAAATTTTTCTGCAACTCATTCATTTTGTTGCTGAGAGTAAGCTTTAATTCGTTTGATAAGATAATCTATGGAATCTATGGAAAAGTTGTATTTTCTTTTTGTTGATATTAGCATTTCTTGTTTAGGATATTTTGAAATTTTTTCTGGAGAAATGAAATGAGCATAAAAAGTATTCAGATTTTCATTTCAAATTTAAAATGATTTTCATTTAAAATTAATTTCATTTAAAATTGATCGGAAAAAGTATTCATATTTTCATTTCAAATTTAAAATGAATTTCATTTAAATTCATTTAAAGTTGAAAACTGAATTATTCATATTTTCCTTCTGATCTTAAATGAATAAAACATTTCAATAAATTTCAATCAAAAGAAATTATGGGTAAGGGATTTTTTTGAAAACATTTTTAATGACATCTTTTTTTTCAACTTTTTATAATCACTGGAAATTCTATCCGATCTGAAGCAAAATAGTTGGATCAGAAAATGGATAAGAGGGATTTACCATCAGCACTGCTTATTGCTACTTTATTCTTTTTACATTGTCAAAAAAACGAGCAATTGTAAATTTCTATTGGAGAGAAAAGAAATGAATTCCCAAATGGATATTTTTGAAGTGTGGTAGGTCCATCGAAAATTTTCAAATTTTTCGATGGAGTATGAAAAGAATAGCTATCAATTATTGAAATGAAACGTATCGAATGACGTGTTGCACAGATAAAAAATGTTGAACAATCAATGAGAGAGAGATAGAGAGAGAGAGAGAGAGGGAAAGAAGAGATACTTTTAATCTTTTAACTATTAACTGAATGTGCTTTAGCTTATCATATCATCATATAAATATATATATTTCCTTCTGGATACTAATATCGCCCAACAATGATGCAAAGGAAGAGCCGCTTATTGCAAAAAAAAGAAAATTCGTCGCGATATAATTTGAACATTTTAAAAGGATTGGGAGTGTAGATGGATCGATCGGTTCATTTCAATCAAAGTAATTTACATAAAAAATTAATAGCAGTTAAAAGTGTTAGTTAAATTTATTACATAAACTAAATTTAGAACTAAACATTCTAAATATAAGAATTAAAATTTTCAAGTTAATAATTTTAGATATTTTATAGCTATTTGCATCGACATAGATTGTGACAGCTTTTACAAGTTATTATTAATAACATGAATTGTATTAAAAAAACCTATTTCTTCAACATTGTAGCATTTCATTTTTGGCTGTAACGAAAAGGTTAATTGAAAAGAAAGGTAACAATTAATTTGCTAATAATATTTGCTAGAATTATTTACTGTATGCAAAATTATTTCAATTAAAAAAACAATTTCAATTTGCAAAGAAACATAAAATTCCCCGCGATATGATTTGATTAGCTTATAGTTAATTAATATTATATTTGTTTTAATCCTAAAATTGCTATTATTTACGGTTAGCATGGAGCGATTGATATTTTAAAAATTCGATTAATTTTGAAATGTTTATTCTTAGATTCAAAAATAATTTAAAATGATAGTATATCTCGATCCAATTCCGCATTATCAACTTTTCATCAGCTAATTTAATCTTTAAAATTCCATCCTAAGCAAAATAATATCATTCCTGTAAATCAGTTTTCCAGTATGATTATACGGCAGCATTTGAAATGTTGAAATTAATACTGAGGAAATGGACAGATGATTATAGCACATACACATATAATTTTATACATGTAATTTTATTTTTGAGAGAAAAAGAATGAAGGAAAAGATAGAGAGAGAGAGAGAGAGAGAGAAAGATGGAAGGAGGTTGATTAAATTGCAATAATGAATGAAAATATTTAAGGCAATTATTTTGCATCATACAAAAAAAGAATTCTGGTGCAAAAAACAAAAGAGAAACAGCTAATAGAAATTATATTAAGCATTGTCATTTTGCGCCTTCATCGAATCCGTCTTTTTGCGCTTTCATCGAATCTGAATATCATTTCAATGCATTTCGTATGCATTAAATGGAAGAGCATTAGTGATTGCGTTTTTGTCGCATGTTGAATGACCTTCTTTTGTTACCAACCTTTAAAGTAACTATTTTTATTAATGAGTCATAAAAAAAATGAAATCATCAACACCATGAATATTTGCCACTTCTTCCATCATTTCTCCATGGAATTAACGCGGAGCCTTCTTCTGAAATATAAATTTCATATATATATATATGTATATATATATAAATATAGTGATGACATATTTTATTACATATCAGGCGAAGTTGTCGTTTGCCTTTTATGAATATTATTTGATGAAAAATGTGATCTTTTTTGAATTTAAAAATTAATATTGCAATTGGGATTTTATGAATATTCCATCATACTGAAGTCTTTTTATAGAAATTGCTTGGGAAACTGCGCTATTTGATAGGTGGCGATTTTTTGATAATGTTAATGATCTTGAATTAAATTTCATTTTTCACTTCAACACTTCTAGTCTGATCTTGAATTAAATTTCATTTTTCACTTCAACACTTCTAGTCTGATCTTGAATTAAATTTCGTTTTTCACTTCAACACTTCTAGTCTGATCTTGAATTAAATTTCGTTTTTCACTTCAACACTTCTAGTCTGATCTTGAATTAAATTTCGTTTTTCACTTCAACAGTTCTAGTCTGATCTTGAATTAAATTTCGTTTTTCACTTCAACACTTCTAGTCCTCTTCCTTTTTTTAGCTTGGAAATAAATTACAATTCGCAATTGTCATATTTTAGAGGATCTTATTGATAATTTGCAATTATCATATTTTTGAGATCTTATTGATAATTTTTTGAAGGATTGATTACTCATAAAATCTGTTGATAATAAAAGAAATATCCACTATGAGTGTAATCTTTCAATACTATGATCTGTTGATAATAAAAGATATATCTATTATGAATATAATCTAAATCTATGATCTGTTGATAATAAAAGAAATATCCATTATGTATATAATCTTACAATACTATACATAATAATAATTTTATTGCTTCGCTGTATGAATTTTTTGCAGCGTATTGGAAGATGAAAGAAAAAAAATGATGACCTATAAGAAAGTTCATCAAATTTTTATTTGAAATTTTGATAATTTAAATTTTTAAAAATATTTATTTTGTAAAGGTATGATATTGGCTTCACGTATCACACGCGGGTATTGTAAATGATTATTTCAATTAATTATTATCTAATATTATGCTATTTATTTTTTCCAAAATCCTATTTCAATTTCTAGTTTTGAGTATATTTAAGGTAAGGGTGAAATTTTTTAAGATAATTTAAATACTTTTTTTGAAAATGTAATTTTTCTCAGTTACATATCTAATCCATTTTTTTATGTTAATTTTTAGTTTATCATAAGAAATTGTTGCGCGAAACGAATTATCCTCCATCGTTATTTCTTTTTATAGCAAATACTTATTTAATAATAGATGAATTGGGAACTCTAGGTTTTACTGAATAATTGGAAAATCAAAAATGACCAAACGATGGACAAAAGGTCGTTTAAGTGTTGGCAAACAATTACGTTTAGGAAGGCGAACAACAACAACAGTAGTACCAATTGCTTGCCTTCTGGAATGGGATTCTGCTAAATGCCAAATTTTTCATCAACGACCACTATTTGCACCTAATTTGGCATATTCAAAAACCAAATATGGTTCTCTGAAGAAGCAGATGTTTTATTTTTCTTTGCTTTAAAATAATCGTAAAATTGAAATCGATCGTAAAGTTGAAATCGGTCGTAAAATTGAAATTGCAAATAATTTTTGTATTGTCGAATAATTTAATAAATAATGGTATTTAGAAGGAATATTTAAAATTCTGAAAACAAATAGCATTCAGAATTATCAATCACAATGATTAGATGAAGAAAAGTAAATTTGTTGGAATAATTTAATTTTTTTTAAGTGAAATTTTTGTTAATGATAAAATTTGGAATTTTGAATTATTAGATTAGCAAGCAATAAAAAATATGAAATAGCAAATTTCTTAAAAATGCTTATTTGAAGAATAATCAATATGCAACAGAGAGTGAAATAAATTTTTCATATGTTCCACTTACTTCTTTTCCTTGCGGACACCCGTTTTTTTTTTCATTCAATTAAAATTAACACAAATTAAAATTGATTAGGAATTAAAATCTATAGCATAATTTAATTGACATTATGCGAAATTTTTGAAAGTTGAATTTTGAGAGAAAAGTTGAATAAATTAGATAACGATTTCTTGTAGGGTCAAATTCAATAACTATCTATTTAATTTAAATTCAATTTCGAAAATATGCCATAATTACATAACTTATCTTTCAGGTTTGATTACACCAATTTTGCCAATATCAGGAATAGTTGAAGAAGGTGCAGAATCGAAATCCTCATCGATATCACTGCTGCATACATCTGAAACAACGTTAACTGCTACAACAGCAACAGCTAAAACATTAACTTCAGCCAAAACTACGAAAGCACATTTGGAACATCCCGAGAATTTGGCTACGATAGCACATTTGGAACCGGAATATCTACCTACAGTAAACGGTGAGTTCACTAAGCGCACTCACACGTTTCTTTCTACCATTACCACCACCACCACTGCTATCACCACTACTACCACTCCTATCATCACTATTGCTACAGCACATATCACTACCACAACTATCATTGCTGATACCATCACATTAACCACCACTATTACTTCAACTTTCAGCTTCATTCAAAAACATAATATCAATCATGATATATTTCCTATTCCCAAGATACATAGCAATCGTATTATGTTGACACCAGCTTTGTTCCATCTTTTTATCGATGATGACAATGATGATAATAATGATGATGATGATGATGATGATGATGATGATGAGAATAATAATGACGATGAACGCTTTACATTCTTCTGGCCAACTATTTTACCATTTCAAACACAAACTGCAATTATTTACTCCTCTGAGATAAGAAATATTGAAACAACGCAATCAATGATAATTCCTGCTAAGACAAAAGGATCTTTTCATAGTTTAACAAAGCAAAATGAATATAAGCCAAATGAGAATAAATATGGGAAATTCTTCAATTCAACATTTACTATGAATAAACATTTTTTGCCATCAATAGATCGCAATAATATAAGTCAACATGAATACAATAGCTATTCCAATGATTATTCTGGATATTATTATCATTCTGATAATATACCTGAATATAATTATAGCTATTTGAATAGCAAGCATAAACATTATCGTCATCCTAATACAAATTACAACCATCTTCAATATCTTGGCAACAATTCTAAATGTTACGATCATCCGAACAATAAATCTAATTATTCAAATTGTATGAATGCTACGATTATTAGCACTTTCACTGCATCATCACAATCACATCTTTCATTTGCTTCTACTGCACCATCGATTATCAAAAGTATGCAAATTTCCAGTGCCATCTCGCAACAATCTAATCGAAATTATTTTGAAGATTTATGGAACGATATTGCTGGACCACCACCAGCTGTTATCATAAATAGTGATCAGAAAGAATCAAGAAACAAGACAACAGCGACAATATCATCATCATCTATTGTTACCAATATCATTAATAGTAATCTATCAACTAGTCCATTAATCTTTAACATCACGCATACATTATATCCAACACATCAGACTATCTCATTACATAAATTGCATGAAAAACTAACCACACCTGAAAATGATATTGATAATAAAAGGTTGTCATCAGCTCTACCAAAAATAATCAAAAATAATTTGCTGAATATTTCAACTAAATCGTCGCTAGTAATTGACAATGCAGAAGAGGGAAAGAAAAGAATAAAAGAGTCAGAAGCTCAGAATTTGGGTAAGTTTAAATAGTAGAGTGTATATATGCTTTTCTCAAAATTTAACAGCTATAAAATTTTTTAAAAATATTTTCTTTTTGATTGAAATTTTCAATCAAATTTTTAATTGAAGAAATTTCTTTTTGCTTCAGCATGATTGTAATATTATTTCAAATTTTCTCATTTTAATTATTTAGTAATTTATTCTCTCTTTTTTCTATCCTATTATTTATTTCTTTTGTTTGGCAGCACATTTTAATTAAATTATTTTAAAATAATATTGAATGATATTATCTTATCAAATAGATTGTAATCAAATGGGATAAAGAAATTTAGTGATGTTTGTTTGTGTATTTTGGTAATATGTTGTAGTTTATCCATTCTTACCTTTTTAATTAAGTAATTTATAAATGATGCAAAATTACAGATAACATTCCTACGCAACCTAAATCACAACAAGTGCTCACCGTACCAACCGTATCATCATCCACTACTACCATTAAACATCGTATTCGTACAACATTGGGAAGTCATACAATTTATGCAGTTAGACCAACTACACCTATGGGTGAATTCATTACGGATACAGTTAAGGTTTGTTCAATGATTAGCTTATCATTTCATTCTTTTTTAATTTTTCGTTTAAATAGAGGAAATTTTTAAATTGATAAATACTAGCCACTATTAGTATCTTGGCCACTATTAGTACACACTATTAGCCACTATTAGTACACATTATTAGCCATGCTTTTATTTTAAAAAAGTTATGTTTAACTTTGGAAGTTATATTTAAAATCTAAAAAGTTATATTTAAATTTTGAAATTATATCCAAAAATTTTATCTCTTTCATATTCTTAATGAACTTTTCAAGTCTCCGTTAATTTTTTTCAGACTCCTGCAACACCGACAGATTTCCCACGTACGGCATTAATTTCGATAGCATCGTTATCTGTGATCATTATCATCGCCATCGTTGTTTTTTGTGTTTTTAGGTAAAATACACTTTTTTCTTTCATTTATATCATTTGCTAATTCAAAAATTGAAAAGCTATTACTTCTATAATGTTTTTTGTTTAGAAATTTTTAAAAAAAAAGTTTAAAATTAAGAAAATTCTAAAAGTTAATTTTAAAAATTTAAGAATTTTCTGACTTTTTTTGTGTTTGATAGAAGCACTTATTTAAAATTTCTTTAAGATTTTCAAATGCCAAATATCTCTCAAATCTATGAAATCAAAATTTTTGATTTCTTTTTATCACTTCATTATATTATCATCTTATTTTGTGATAAGATAGCACTATTATTTTATATGAATTGGATATAGAAAGAAATAGAGAAAATAAAAGAATTTTTTTGAAACTAAATTTTTAATTTAATTTATACTTCTTACTGCAATCATTATTTTTTAACCGTTTCAAAAGATAATAAAATTATGTTTTTTTATTATAGATGTAGACAAAGTGGTCCATCAACTGACCAATATCCAATGGTTTGCAGTAGTAAACAATCTGGTTATGCTCCGATACCAGCTGAATTATCACCACCAATGATGCGTGAAACATCAAGACATAACGTTGGTCCACTCTTTCACAATCGAGTAAATCAACTTGATGGCTATCAACCGATCAAAGGTGCTGTGATACCGAATGGAAATAACTTAATGGGTATTGTCAAAGGTAATAGTGCATCAACATCCATTAATGGTAGGAAGAAAGAATTTAAAGAATGGTATGTTTAACTGTGATCTGATTAAAATATCATTAGCTTTCATTTACATATATAATATAAAAGAATTTCATGTTTTTTGAAATTAAATTTCATTTTTAAAATTCATTTATATTCTTTTAATGGCATTCGAAATGAAGGAAAAAATTAAATGGTGTCAGAGAACTAAAAAATTTGCTTGTTGTACTACTTTTGAGTTAATTTAATTTGTCGTACCCGATATTAATTTGTGGAATATATATGCAACAATATATCATCATATATTATCGCTCAGAAGTTAAAATGAACAAAATGATATAAATTGTAAATTGTATTTCGTATGATCTCTCGTAGGCTAATACTTAGAATTATAAATTATTGACAGTAATGATTTTGTGAAATATGAATGAATCCTTTCTACGACAGCAATGATTTTGTGAAATTCTATATTGAAACAATTAATTTCCTACTGTCAATACAACAACAACTTTCATCTCATGTCGAACTTCTAACTTTTTTTTAAGTCATCTAAATTTGAGAATAAATTTAGCACATGAATTTTTAAAATGTCCTATATTCAAATATCGTTATGTTCTTTTATTTTAAAAAAATTTTTTATTTACTCATTTTTCTTCCATATCATTATCATTATCATTATCAGTTTTTGTTTGTTTCTCTTTTTGTTTTGTATGCCATATTTTTAATGCATTTAAATGGACCCTTACGATTTCTATCTTATTTAATTTGCTTTTGTTTTTTTCCTCTATGCTTCAAAGATTTCAATTGTTAAATTAAAATTGAAATCTTTTATTACAAAATTAATCTGTATTATTTTTAATATCGGCTGAATAGAAAGCTGGTTGGAAAAGCGCAATCTTTTAAATTGTAAGTGAAATTTTGATATCATTGAATTTGCTTTTTCGTTGTTAATTTTTATCAATCATAATGTTTTGTTGCTAAAAAGCATTTATGAAATAATTTCTTATATTTTATTTTTAATTAAATTAATTCTTTTGGCAACTTAAAATATCTAAAATTGTTGTATTTAATATGTGTACAAATAAATTTTGTTCTCTATCAAATTTAATTCGAATTTTTGAAATTGTAAAATTTTGTTGAAATCATTAAAGTTACTATAAATGTGTTATTACTGTGATTTTTCATCTTTTACTTGTGATTTTTTTCTTGCATTATATTATTCATTTTAAAATTCTCTCTCTCTCTCTCTCTCTCTTTCAGAGTTGTGATTTTGTTTTTGTTTGATAAATTGGAATTGATCAATTTTAACTTCTTAACACTTGGCTGCAGCATAATTTGCAATGATATGATAAAATTGAATTTTGATGATATGATAAAATTGAATTTTGATGATATGATAAAATTTAATTTCAAAACCGGAAAGAATATAATTGAATGCTCACAAAATTGTTAAATTAGGAATAGCTAAATGTTTACAAGAATTTATTAGTTTACATTTTATCAAATCTGTTGATCACTTCAAATGAATAATAATTTGTTCAATATTTCATATACCTTAATTTGTTTTACTTTTTGTAATAGTTTAATAAATTTGTGAAATGAAATAAATAAAAATATGTTAAATAAATATCGATCCATTCTAAAAACTATGCTAATTATTGATCATTTATAATTTAGCGGAAGTTTTTTTGAATTTTCCTTTTATTAAAAATTTCTCCCACTTTATTTTAACAAATATTTAAAGAAGAAAATTTTATTAATTGATAAGATCAAAGGAAAAATTGGGATTTGGATTATTAATTAGTAAAAGAAAATTTTACTAATTGATAAGCCTTCTATAAATAGGCCTTTCAATATGAAATCAATCGATGGTTAATTTTGAAATTTATCCAATGCCAAATTTTTGCATAATTTATGAATCGATAATATGAATGTCAAAGCTGACTGTTTCGAGTTTTTCCAATTAATTCTATTTTTCTAGAGGAGAGATCTATTTTTATTAGAAAGACATAATTTTAAGTTCTCTCTTAAGAATTGCTAGATTGATGCGAAGCATTAATGTTAAATTTTTAAGAGGGAAATTAATGCTAAATTTTAAAGCATTTTAAAGCAAACAAGCTTCAGGGTAAATTAGTACAAAATAATCTGTTAGGATTTATTAGGAAATCAATAGTTGAACTGATAATGATAGATGATATCATATTTCGAGGGATCAAAAAAAAGGATTATCATTGAATGATCCTAAAATGAAATTTTTAGCGCGATAAACAATTATCCGATTCATCCCAAAATTAATATTGCTCAAAGGAAATCATGGACTCTAATCCATCATTTTCACATATCAATGTATATTAATTCATTTGAAATTGATTACTGGAAATGAACATTTATTTTTAAGTCAATTATTTTGTCAATTATTTTATGGATCACTGGAAACGAAAAAATTTTCCACAATTTCCACTTATCAATGCATATTAATTAATTTGAAATTAATTACTGGTGATGAAAATTTATTTTCAAGTATTCAATTATTTTATCAATTATTCTATAGACCACTGATACGACAAAATTTTCTTTTTGAAATAAAACATTAGATGAGCTAACTGCGTTATCTGTCTGTAGTGATAAAAATCCAACACAAAAGAGATAGCAAAACAATTTGATGTGTGCCTTTCTCTCTCCTTCACTCTCTCTCTCTCTCTCAGAGAAAGCCTACAAAATCAATAATGGATTGATTAAAGTTTAAAAAAAATTAATTGATAATATTATTTTATTTAGATAAGAATAGAATCTTTTTTACTTCAAGTGTAATCATAAAAGAAGAAACTTTATTTTTCAAAAATAATTTCTTATCTTTGCAGCATGAACTTTCACCTCGTCAGATACAAATATTAATCGAATATGATAATCACAGAAGTTCACGTTTTCACGTCTATCATGAAATTTTCATTTCGACAACTTCATTAATTTTATTTATTCCTTCACAACGGCATATATAGAATGATTTGTGCTATAATTATTATAACAACAAAATTCAAAGGTCAAAGTTCGACGAGTTACGCTAACTAACACTTCTTAATAAACTATCAGAAATTATCTGAATACAGGGATCAATTCAAATATTTCGCAATGATATTAGTCGCATTCATTAACTATTATAGATTAGCTATCACACTTATATATCATACGGAAGCATCCATCCATTATACAATTATTAAATTATCATTATCACTATTGGTATCATCCAACATCGTTGCAGTATAATTGATTTGAAAAAGTAAGATATGACTGAAATAGCCAAGCCAAAAGGTTGTAAATAAATTGAAGATGATGGTGACGAATGAAGAAGAAGGAGATTGCAAAGGAAGAGGTGGAGGAAGAAGCACTTTACACTTTAAAACTAGCAGCATCGCATATCATCATCATCATCCTGCAAAGACAAAGAAAGAGAATCATTCAATTTGAAAGCTGAAGCAACAACTTTTTGTATACACTGTTCCGGATCCTTTTTGCAACATCATATCATATTACTTTGGTTCATTTCTATTCCACCTAATTCTTTTAATTCCTATTTAATTTCAGAAACTATTTTTGTTTGTTTAAAAAGTTCATTTATCATTGAAATTTTAAAATAGAAAATATTGCTATTTCAACTTTTTCATTTCATTTCTTCGGCATACAAAATTTATATTTCTGAAATTGAAATTTAATAGAAAACTGTCAAATTGTTACATTTCATTTTGAATTTTCGGTGAGCAATTTAATGGAATTAATCATTTCATTTAATTTCATTTGATGTTTTCATTATTTTATTTTATCTATTTATCATTTTGAATTTTTATCTATCTATTTTCATTATTTTATTTTATCTATATCTATATCTTTGCAGAATGTTATGCATCACGGAATATCATCAAAAAATTTTTTTGAAAATTTGAATTAATTATTTCTTCTATCTTTTATATAGTATATTAGAATGATTATCATAATATTTGATATATTATTTTATATTACAATACCTATATATGTATTTACTTATCAGCCAATTAAAGAAATGATACGGCAATATTATCAGGCTTGATGATAAACCATAGCGTGACGTAAACTGTCAAAACGTGATCGGAATATTTTGGGGTTAAGAATAATTCTAATAAAAGTTGAATAAAACTATTTTCTGCAAAATATTGCAATCATATGTTAGCATGATTTTTCAGCTAATATTGATAGTTTATTCAAATTTTATTTCAGAAATTTTGCCAGAGCCAACTTAAAACTTCAGCTTCATTTCCTCTGCACATTTTATTGCATTCATTTGCTGTTTAATTTGATAAATAATTTAAAAATAAAATATGATTTTTACATAATTCAATGATACTCAATGCTTACCTATCATTTACGAAGTTATAGACTGCCCAATGCTTACCTGTTATTTACGAAGTTATGGACTGTCCAATGCTTACCTGTCATTTACGAAGTTATAGACTGTCCAATGCTTACCTGTCACTTACAAAGTTATAGACTGCCCAATGCTTACCTGTTATTTACGAAGTTATGGACTGCCCAATGCTTACCTGTCATTTACGAAGTTATAGACTGCCCAATGCTTAAATTGCTAATGTAAAAATTAACAAAAAAATTTTTAATTTCAAATGTTATTAATTAATTATAGAAAGATATGGTAAAAAAAAAAATGAATATCTTACGATATTGACGTAACATTATTGAGAATAATTCTTCGGTATATTATTGAGAGTAATCCGGTGGTACATTATTGGAAGTAATTCTTTGATAAATTATTGAGAGTAATTCTTCGATATACTATTGAGGATAATTCTTTAGCATATTATTGAGAGTAATTCTTCGGTAAATTATTGAGAGTAATTCTTCGGTAAATTATTGAGAGTAATTCTTTGGTATATTACTGAGAGTAATTCTTCGGTATATTATTGAGAGTAATTCTTCGATATACTATTGAGGATAATTCTTTAGCATATTATTGAGAGTAATTCTTCGGTAAATTATTGAGAGTAATTCTTCGGTAAATTATTGAGAGTAATTCTTTGGTATATTACTGAGAGTAATTCTTCGGTATATTATTGAGAGTAATTCTTCGATATACTATTGAGGATAATTCTTTAGCATATTATTGAGAGTAATTCTTCGGTAAATTATTGAGAGTAATTCTTCGGTAAATTATTGAGGGTAATTCTTCGGTAAATTATTGAGAGTAATTCTTTGGTATATTACTGAGAGTAATTCTTCGGTATATTATTGAGAGTAATTCTTCGATATACTATTGAGGGTAATTCTTTAGCATATTATTGGGAGTAATTCTGTAATTCTTCGGTAAGACTGACATTAACTTCTTAAATATTACGTATTTGTTAAATTTACTAAATTGCCAATGTAAAAATTAACGAAAAAAAAAAATTTCGATAATTGAAGAGAGAAAGGTAAAGAAGACAACTAATATTTAAGATCGATCAGCTCGTTGAGAGAGTTAGACAAGACAATACATCAATAGCAAAATCACTTACCACCAAATTTCCTCATTCTTTTTATTTCTTCTTTTCGAAATAATAAAACAACTGTTGTAATCACTTTTGAGTGATTGAAATTATTTGAAAAATAAATTAACTTAAGTAATCAGAAGTGAAATGCATTATGTTATCATTATATTACTCGTTATATATCTTATTTATGTTCTTCTTCTCTTTTGATAATTTCAAATTCATTTTGTTTTGAATAATACGTGCTATCATGATAATTTGAAATTCATTAATGGTGCTGAAAGATACATATCTAATTCGAATATCCTTCCTTTGATATATAAAATAACTGCCTTATCTATACTTGAATACATATTTACATATCGGAATATAAAATAAAGTATTATGTGCACTGCTCTATTTGTATAAAATCTATTTGTACAACGTAAATGATAAGTGAATTATTCCATGCAACTTTTATTTTTCTTTTACTAGTTCTTCTGTTAACTGCCTTATCTATACTTGAATTCATTTCAAGGAAATAGAATATCGTAATGGTACTGAAAGATGAATATCTAATTCATATATCCTTGCTTTGATATATAAAATAACTGCCTTATCTTTACTTGAATACATATTGGAATATAAAATAGTTTTGAGTATTATGTGCGTTGCTCTTTTTACATAAAATCTATTCGTACAACGTGATAAATGATAAATGAATTATTCCATGTAACTATCATTTTTAGATAAATTGAAAGGAATTAGAATATCAAAAACGAATGTGTAGCAAATCTTAGGACAGCTATCGAAGATGCCTTTCAAGAGACCATTGGGAGAGCGAATTGGAAATAAAATTTTACCAAATTTCATAAGAGTTAGTTCTTCTGTTAATTACTTCTTAAAAAATAAAAACAGTATCATTTCTTTTGTTTTTTAATAATTTATATTTCGAAAAAATTAAAACGAAATAAATCAAACAGAAATAAAAGTTGATACCATATGGAAAGCCTAAAAAATACTTTCGGGATGATATCATTTCATTTCAATTAATTAATTATAACTTCTCTCTTCTTTTTTTTGTTCTCACTAAAACAAAAAATTATCATTGATTAGGAAAAGACTGAATAATAGTTTTTAATTACTCTAATCGTACACTTTTAAATTAAACAATTGAATTTTCAATAGATTTTATTTTTGAAATTCGATGAAAATTTCATTCCTTAATTAAATAACACTTTCTTTTGCAGCCACTTCAAGATAAACGTGTAGTGGTTGGACAAAATGTGCTACTTGAATGTCAAGTAGAAGGTTATCCTGATCCGGTTGTAAAATGGCTTAAAGATGATCATGATGTTACACAATGTCCTGATTATCAAGTTAGTTTCATTGAAAAATTTTCCTCCCATTCACTTTTAGATTTCTCATTTTCATTTTTCCTCAATTACCATGCTTTTATTCCAATCATTAATTTCTATGATTGTGGAAGATATTTAGGCTTTTTGATGTTACAAATCTGAACCAACTAATCTTTCAATTTTTGTAAATTTTCAACATATCGTGAAATTATTCATAGATCAAAAATTAATGCTTCTTGTAAATTTGAATATAATGTAATCTATCTATGAATGTATAATCATTGTGATATGATATTACCACAATCAGTCATTTGCGGCAATATCATATCACAGTGATTATACATTCATAGATAGATTATATTTTATTCAAATTTACAAGAAGCATTAATATCTGATCTATATTATCATCATTGATAACTATTGCATATATATTTTTGATAACTATTGATAATTATTGTATGCACTTTTATGGACAAAAAATTTTTCGGATTTTTCAATTTTATAGTTTAAAGATAAGGGCCAGAAAAGTGACGACATTCTTTGTTGGAAAAAAACTCATACGAATCGATTAATTATAATAATTAGTAGAGAAATAAAGATCATTTTAGTTTTTAAAAAATTACTTACTGCATTTACTTACTAAGGCATTGAACTTTTCATTTAAATAACAATTTTCTATAAAGTAAAAATTTAGTTGTAATTTACAAAGTTCAGCACATTCTAAGGTAATGTCGTAAAACGTCGAAAATGTCGCAATGCAAAAACAAAAGAAAATGTGCACTTATTTTATGCATTATCTATTAGCATGTAATTTATAGGTTATTGTTAATGAATGCAAAAGTAATTAAGAAAGAAGTATTACAGATTTCAAGCATTGGTGTCAAACATCATTTAGCAATTAAAAATGTGCAAGCATCCGACAATGGCCGTTTTACCATTCAGGCAATGAATGCGGCTGGTATTAAACAATCAACATGTATGCTTATTGTTGCACCCGCACCAACACCAATTCCAGGTGCAAAAAGTGTCGCGTTAGTATCTTTTGAAATTTAAATTTTTTCACTCTTTAACATTTGTCTTTTATATGCAAGCATATATCTCATTATAGCTATAAAATTATGCTTAATTTGTTCAATTGTTTTTAATGTTATTATAATTCAATTGTTTTTAATGTTATTATAATTCAATTGTTCCTAATGTTATACCTTTAAATTATTATGATTCAATTCTGTGATAAATTCAAAGCTAACATATGAATCATTTAATTTTAATTTCCTAAAATATGATTCATAATGGGAAATACAAGGTTGAAAATTATTCGGTAGCTTTAAAATCTCAAAAGTTATAAGCAAATTAAGCAAACGCATCAAAGCGATACAAACTAAGCAGTGAATTGTAAGATGTTGTATTCATGACAAACATAAAATTATATCAACAACAGTGAATTTACACTGAATAACCGGACAACTTAAATTATTCAATTTTGCAATTCACTAATGTTCACAAAGAGAAAGAGCAAATATGCTTTTATAATTTCAACGTTACATTTTAAAAATTTTATTAACAATACTGTCCAGAAGGGATTTTGCATAATAAGCGTAATTAAAATTCATCGGTTGTTTAAAACAATTGCATAGAAAGAAAAAGTTTTGTTGCATATTTAAACTATTAGATTTATTTCACTTTCTAAAAAGCATTAAGATAATGTAAGATGATATGTTGACTTTCATTTGTTAAAATTTCAACACAAACACTCAATTTAAATTCTATGTAATACACTTCATCTTTATATTATAGAAATTCACCAGCACCACCACAAACACCTATTGGTCCATCAGCGCCAATTTTTTTGAAAGAATTAAAGAATTCACCGTTGAAACCTGGTTTACAAATTATATTAGAAGCACGCGTTGTTGGTTATCCGGAACCACATGTGGAATGGCTAAGAAATGGATCATTACTTAATAATTACCGGTTTGATTCTTTGCTTTTTTTGCTTTCTTTATTCTAACTGATATGATTTCTTTAGTTATCGAAAAACTTGATGATCCCATAGAAGTTTTGCATAGAAGGCTATTTTCAATCATCAAATCAACTAAAGGTTTAATGGGATGTTTTCAATGATAGTTAGATATTTATCAAAAATATAAAATTGTCAGTTTATGCATTAGCTCATGCAAAAAATATCACTATATCAACTCATTAATCATCAATTAATCTCTCATAGCACTTGGAGAATTCATCATCTTTGAAGAATTACTTAGCAATAAATGATTGAATCGGTAATTTCACGTTCTCTTATTTCTTTACGTCATTTCTAGTTTAGCTTATAAGCTAAAAAATTCTTGTTTTTTATCGTAAAATTTTTTCTTTATAATCTAATAAGTAAATTCTCGTTTTTACTTTTCATACTTCATTGCTTTAAAAAATATTGAAGACGTGCGTGGGCTGCGTCAATTCTCCTTTTCTACATCTTGGAATCTTTAATTGGATATTATTTTATCAAGAGTAGTACATGAAAAACTTTTACAGCCTTGATTATTATCTTTATTGAAAGCGAAAAATTATGATAGTATTATCATTCCTTGATCTTATGTCAATAATATGAAGTATGTTTAACTGTAGGATTACGTATTCATGATAGTAATTCCATTCTTATTGTTTAATAATCTGCAAATTTTTATTGTAGAAATTTATTTGAGATGAAATTTTGTCTTTATAACAAAATTAAAATAAATATCAAAATGAAAAATTAGAACTAATCATCGATTCAACGAACTGTTATCTTATAAATTATGCATGAAAAGCTATTTTAGATGGGAATAAAAATTCAAATGGCCAATTATTCAAATTAGTTAAATCGATACTTAGAAAATGCTATCCTTCTACAAATTCTTTAATTCTTATTTGTGCATTTTCATTTTTAAACAACCTTTAAAAGAATCAATTTTAGAAGTAATGAATTGTTTCGAAATTATAAAGCTTTTATATTTGTAATGCAACTGTTAAACGAAATAAAATCTTTAATTGTTTAATATCACTATCATTATCAATTCTATTGATAATGATATTAAACAATATTACTATCAAATCTATCCAAATGATACATTGCAAAATCTGAGTTTTTAGCTTTCATACAAGTAAATATTTATGAATACGAATTTTTATCGCTCTTTATTTGTTTAATATCATTATCACTATCAATTCTGTTCAAATGATATCTAACTTTACAAATATCTGAAATTTTTGCTTTCATACAAATAGGAATTTATTGAATACAAATTTTTATAGCTATCGATGAATGAATACATTCTGTCATTTTATTATTTAAATCAAATGATAAATTTAAATGCTTTCAGTATATTTAGAATCTTCGTTCATTCATTTCTTTTGTTTTTGTAAATCCATAAAGAATTTGATTGAAATGGATGATCAATAAAAATTAAGGGAGCGATGATCCATTTCGTCTGCTCCATAAAAATATCAATTTGAAATAAAAATTCTTCAAGTTATTTGAATTTAATAAATCGAATGAATACGTAAATATATCGAAAGAAATTTAAAAAAAAAGTTGGTTAAAATGAAACTTGTCTACAGCGCGAAAACAGAATATGATACTCGAACGGGTATTTGTTCGTTAATTATACCTCAAATGTTTGCTGATGATATTGGTGAATATACATGTCGTGCGACAAATGCACATGGAGTTGCTGAATCTTCCGCACAGGTATACATTTATCGATAATTGGAAATATCAATTATTATTGATTTACTTGAAATAACGTTAGGTGCAAATTATTGGAAGATAAGTTTAAGTTTCTTTCTTTGCATAAATATTAGATTTGAATAGAATTGGAGTAATAATACACGTTGCCGATAACATTGAAATGATTTGCAGTAAAATAAGAAATTAATTATGAATTAATCGCTTTGGTTGGTTAAATAATTTTTGAGTTTAGATAAGGCAGTTTATTTAAAAATGCGAAATAAATTTCGAATTGGAGTTAATTGATAAGGAGCTGTTATTGATTTCAATTTTACATATCATTTTTAATTATCAGTTTTTTATTATCAAGTTTTTCACCTTGCAGCTTTTTCATAAAAATATTTCATAAAATTATGGCATAAATATTGCAGGACATTTTTGATTAGTTATTCCATTTAAAAGATATTTTCGATTAGCTATTTTAATCTTACATAAATTGAATTTCTTTTGAAGTTGATGCCACGAAATGAATTCGAAAAATGGTTTAATGAACAACAGTCGTTGATTACAAGTGAACGAAAGCAAGCTATGCTTGCAGAGTCTCAGAAACAAAGACCAGGTAAGATTTTAGACCTTACGATTAACTTAAGATTTTTTGTGTGCTATCGGTTACGTAGCAATCTGATACACCTAAACAAGCTATATATCACATTGAATAAGAAATGAAAGTGAAATAAATTGAAAGTTAAGAGGGGACAAAAATTTAACCAAAATTTATTACTTAATTATTGATCATGAAAATATTTGATCAAAATCGTCTGTACATATTGCAGAATCTAATCGGCCAATTTCTCGGACAACATTTCAACAACGACAAACTGGTGTACAACGTCCAGCTACTATTATACAACATCGCGATAGTATGACTGAAATCGTAAGCTGATACTATCAATTCTTGTCACATAAAAAAGAAGATAAAATCATTCATGATTTTTGAAGTGTTTATGTTTGCTAACATTGAGATGTTTATTAGGAAGTTTTTTAAAGCAACTATCACAAAAAAACTTTCCGTTATTTATTCCGGAAATAATGATAAGTAATGATCGAGTATTCTCACTTATTCGGTCTTGATTTATAATACATAATCGATAATGAATTTTAGCGGTCAGTTTTAGTGCTATCAAAGAAACACTTTTATTAGCTTAAAAATATACTTTCATACATTTTGAAATTTCCTTAGGCAATAACTTCTAAACTATGTTATAATTGAATCTTTTAGCCTTGGGGTCTCAGTGAAAGTGAAACAGAAACGGAACTTGCATCAATAGATTCACGTGGTTTTGATGGACCACCTCGAATGAAAACCCCGCTGAAAGGATTACGATTAACAGAAGGCACCGATGCACTCTTACAGTGCAGTATTACGGGAAATCCTAAACCTAAGGTTTTACTTAATTTGATTATTTAATGAAATTCAGCAACTGTTATTATCATTGAAAACGTATACTGTCGTAATTCATAAATTCTAATTCTCAAATTTTCTTCTTATCATTTATTTGCAGGAAAATATAAGAATAGCATTGTTTATTTTAGATTGACCTGTCTGATATTTAAACAAGTTTTTGATTAAATTCATTTTTACTTTAATGCTTTTTATAAGATAAAATATTCCATTTTCAAGCTGTCAAAAATTTTTGCAAAATTTTTAAATTTAAATTAATTATTCCTTCTATTTTTTATATAATACATTATGAATGATTAACATATTATTCAATATTTATACTGTATATTAATTAATTAATTACCATGCACTAATTAATTAATTGACACTTACATATTAACGCATTATGTTGCAAGTGATAATGCAAATTTTATATATATTAAATGAAAAGCAATTTTTGGGAATTCTGAGTTTTCATTTTTACTTTTGTGTTTGACTTCATTTTTCCTAATTTCTTCTAAAATCCATATTCTTTTGAGTTTATCGAAATTTAATCATTAATATATTTTAAATACTTTATTTTATTTTAAATACCTTTAATTAATTGATTATTACCAATATATTAAGCATTGTAGTGTGATTAAGAATGCAAATTTTAGGTGTGTTAAATGATATTTCTTCCAGATAACATGGTTAAAGAATGGAAAAATTGTGGATTTAATTAATTCAAATGGTATTATGACTGTATTCAAAGGATCTCTTGCACTCATGAAGATCTCATCAGTGGTACCAAAAGATAGTGGTGAATACACGATTATCGCAGAAAATTATTACGGAAAGGTTAAATATCTTTTAAGTTGAAAATTTGTGCTTTATATTGCAAATGATTCAACAATTATTAAAAGCTTTCGAAGTCTGCAAAAAAAATTTTGATAAATGATAAAAGGAGTAGAATGCTGATAACAGCTTCAGATGTAATTAATAATCCATGGATGTAATTAATAATCCATTCAAAGAGTCTGATCTAAATAGCTTCATTAATATTTGCTCACTTTTTGTGTAAACTCAAATTAATTTAAAAATTTTTAAATCGTGCAACGATTTCTGGTGAATATGATCGTTTCCAAATCTAATATTCTCATGAGCTATTGTTGAATTGCTCGCTCCTTAAATCATTAACGGAAATATTCATTCCGTAATGCAACCCGGAAATGCCGGAAACTAAGCTTGTCATATCTTGAAATTTTCATCCATATGAACCATTTTTATTAACCATAAAACGATTGTCATTAACTAAGTCTTATCATAACTAAAATTGCTTAGGATACTATTCCATATGAAATTATTGATAATGAGTATCATCGTTATCAACTAAAGTCTTATCATATCTAAATTTTGTTTACACGAAGCATTCTTACTTATTTATTGAGTCTATTATCGTTATTTTTCTGTTAGTCTTTGAAATTTTGTTTACTTAGAGAGAAGAGAAATTTTCGTTCCTTCGGAAGAATTGAATCATAAGTTCCATTTTTTTTCTTTCTTCCTTTATGACTCATAGAAAGAAAAACGGATAAAATTTCAGGATTGAAAAATCAGATGGAATTTTAAAATAGTTTAGATTTAGCATCAGATTGTATAATTATTTTTGGCCACCAAAAAAAAAACTTTCGATCTAATTTTTAGAAAAATTTTAAAGCTATTTGACCCATAAGGTGGTGCTAACGTATGATCTCATTTTATTGAACTGATAAATTGTTAAGCACTTTAACAACACTTTTGCTATGTACTGAGAAAAAGGCTGACTAATATATCGCAATATATTATCATTGAAATGTGTGCAATTATTTGGAATTCAAAAATTTCAATCAATATTTTTATTCGATTTTAATGAATTATAAAATTTGCTTTAAATCACATTAAAAATTCTTATTGAAAAATCATAATAAAATTATGCTCTCACATTATTTTATTATTGGGTGGCAATAAAAAATTTTAATTACAGCCTTTATTTTATTTGCTAATAAGTTTTAATGTTATTGAGGAAAATTTAAGCTTCATTTTTTTTTGGCTTTAACTATTTTCTTTTCAATCTTTCTTTTGTTTCTCAAACATTAATTGCTTCTAATTACACCCTTTTTTTTTTAATAGCAACGAACAAAAATTTTGTTTGAAGAATTTTTAAACGATATTTTTCGACTTGAAAAAAAAGAATATTTTACGCAAATTCTATTATCGCATAAACACCTGATCAATAAGTACCTATTTATTAAAAATACCTGATCAATGAATACCTATTTATTAAAAATACCTGATCAATGAATACCTATTTATTGAAAATATCTGATCAATGAATACCTATTTATTAAAAATATCTGATCAATGAATACCTATTTATTAAAAATACCTAATCAATGAATACCTATTTATTAAAAATATCTGATCAATGAATACCTATTTATTAAAAATACCTGATCAATGAATACCTATTTATTAAAAATATCCGATCAATGAATATCTATTTATTAAAAATATCTGATCAATGAATACCTATTTATTAAAAATATCCGATCAATGAATATCTATTTATTAAAAATATCTGATCAATGAATACCTATTTATTAAAAATACCTGATCATTAAACACCTATTTATTGGTCAGGTGTTTTTACCACTTTTTAAATTTGCAGCGAAAAATTTTTTTCTTTTAAATACCGATCAAATTTAGGAATCAGAAAAAAACGAAAATTTTTATCCTAAAATTAAATTTATATTTAATGCAAAAATTTCATCCCAAAAATGTTTATATTATAAATTTACGCTTAATGCAAAAATTTCGTCCCAAAAATGAAATTTTTGCAAAATTACTTTTGAAGTTAATTAAAATAACATTTAATAAATGTAATATTTTTTGTTTGCAAATATTTTTCATTTTCAAAAAATTATTTTCAAATGTTCTCTAACCATAACTTATTATAATGGATTTAAAACTAAAAATATTCTGAACAAAAGGTGCAAAAGTTTTGACTTTTTCATTTAATTTAGCGATATGATTGATCATTTCACTGTTGTAAGTTCTTATTATCATTAATGCCGAAAGAAAGAAATTGTTGGAAAAAAAAAGTGTAGCCGAATTCTGACAATTTCTTTTTAATTGATGATTCATTAAATCAGTTTCTATTTTCGCTTTCGAGATCTTCAGATGATAACCAAGAATTGCTTATACTTTTAATTCGAAAATATCAACAATTTTGAATTCTTTACTTTTTTTTTTTCACCAATAGTTAGCAAGTTGCTTTGATGATATGATAAGAACGTAAAAAGTTTACTTTTAACTAATAATGTGATCTAAAAAAAAAAATGAATTAGTAGCACAAATAATGGTTGATGAGTGGGTGGATTTCAAACTTCTCAAACGAACTTCTATCTTATTTATACGTTTCACTCTAAGCACCTGTTTAACATTCAACGATACTATTTTGCTAAACAACTCCAACATTCTTCATTCCTCTTCTCATTTTTGCTTTCCTTTCTGATTAGTAAGCTAAAAAGAAAAGAGATGTGAAGCAAAAGCTTCCTTAAGCAATTAATGATGTATTGTACTCGGTAGTGTGATAATAATGATAACAGCAATGATAGCGATAGTGAAAGAGAGAAGAAAAGGAACGGAGGATTTTTGCACTTCTGAAGGTTGAAATGTAATGAAGATTACATAATGCCGCAAATACACACACACACCTGACTAGTTAATGATGGAAAAAAGCAAAATCCAACAAATAGAATTTATTTTTTAAAAAGTTAAAAAGAAAAGAGATAAGAAAGAAAATAGTGTGGAGGAATTAGAAAATAAAGATTGAAACAAAAAAAAAATCTTCGAAAACTCTTTTAAGTAGTATGGCTATTGCTTGAGTATTTGATGTTAGATGATAAGTGTTTGTGATAAGCTAAGGTGGAAAGATGAAAGAGGCATCTTTCAAATTTCCCACATATTAATAATACTATTTGTGTCGTTGAATCATTTATAAGTGAGCGCTGCAACTGTCAAACAATTCTTCTCACTTGAGCTTCACCTCTTCACTTTTTCAAACAAATCTATATTAAAAAAAATTATTACCTTTTCTTTACTTGGCTATATTAATTTCAGATTTCAGGTTAATGCAAGCTATTTAGGCTATTTGGTGAAATTTCAATTTCTGCTTTCTTTAAGTATTCTATCCTTGCAAATTAGTATATCAAAATGTTTGAATCTTTTTATATTTTAACATATCGAAGTTATTAAATAGGTAAGAGAGCTTTTCATTATTCATTATTCATTATTATATAATCCATTATTTATATTATTATTTTTATTATTATTATATTATTATATTATTATTATTCATTATTCATCATAACCTTTTCATTATTCATATATGCTTTCTTCAAATATCGAAATTATCAAATTATCAAATATCAAAATCTTTACATTTTATATTTTAACAAGTATTTATTCGATTGATTTTGATGAAACTTTAATAAAAATAAATTTATGAGTTAATTTCTACTTAATTATAGATATACCTTTTCATTATTTATTATTCGATATAAGCTTTCTTCAAAAGATTGCCTTATTCTAATAATCAACCTTTGATGCTAATTGAATATATTTTTTGCCTGAATTTCGGTTTCTTTCAGAAACTGTTCGCATAATATGAGATGTTTACCATCGTCTAATGCCACACAACATTTCTTAGCAATTTTTAAAGATTAATTGCATGCCATTTAGCATTTTGAAATGTGTATAAAATATACATTTGAAATAGTATTATTAAACTGAAATTGTCCGGGCGAAATGTGTTTGTTCTCATTTGAAGTAAGACAGACGCTTAGATCTCGTTAGTTTGTTCTTCCAAAAGTAAACATTGAAATTAGAACTTTAGTATTGCATTTTTACTGTTCGAAATTGATGAATTGTTGCATCATTTATTATTTACCTATAATTTGTGGTATAATATTAATCCTGATGCAATTTATAAAATCTGACATAAACCGAATAACTGAATCCGTATGCTTCATTATTGAGTCGAATACAGCTCTTGTCCGGTTTATCTAAGCTATCTAATTACTTACGCCTTGTATAAGGTTTTTCTAAGTATTTACACCTTATATAAATCAATTTTTACATTTAATTTTAATTAATTCCTTAAAGCATTATTTTATTGATAATTAATGAAACAGAAATAAACACTGCAATTAGGATAATGATGAAATAAATAGATATCTTCGTAACTTTAATGACTTTTTGCACAACTATTTCAACGTTGAACGATTTTAATGTTTAGTCTAATCCGTTTAGAAATTCTAACGGGCACGATAATTAGTTCTGTAAACTTTTCAATAGAGAATTAATTCCTCCCACCTACTACCATTCAATTTAATTCCTTTTCAACTTTCAATTATTAATGTACTGTCAATTTTTGTTGATGAAACTTCTTATAGTTATATTTTAGACTTCAAAATTTGTTATAATCATTACTCTTATATTTATTACATTATAATCAATCACTGAAAAGTTAATTATTGCAAGAATTTTCTTTTAATTATTATTTGTTTTTCTGTTGAATTTCATCGCAGAAGTTTTAACCTTGTTTTCAATGAATTTTCCCATTGCTAGCAATACCTAAATTTTTTGACCCAACAATTACTTTAAGGTTGAGAGTAAAGCACGTATCGAAGTATATCCATTGCAAATACCGGATGAACAGCGATCACAGCAATCTAAACAATTCGAAAAATTTTACCCATTAGAAAGCATTTACGAACGACCTGATCAATTACAACAAGAGCAACAACAGGAGGTGAGATTTGTAATTTATAAAAAATATT